GGGGTGGGGTGGGGAAGAAGATATAACAACTATACTTTTATGAAGTTGTTACAACAAGCAAACGGAAAGGACATTCTTGGGGGGGAGGGGAGAGAGGGAGGAGGGAGGGAGGTGTCGGTGACGGGCCATAATAATCATATACAGTGTATATTGACAAAATAAAAAAAAAAAAAAAAAAGAAATTGGTTTGGTCTCAGTTGTGTTAAACTGGAGACATCTTTGAAACATCCAAATATAAATGGACAGGGCCAATGGGATAGGAGGGTCTGGGGCTCCCCTGAGAGGCCTGGTCTGGAGATGTAAGGAAGAATAGAGATGGTAATGGAAGCCGAGGTCTAGAATGAGCCCACCTAGGCAGAGGACGCCATGGAGGTGAGGAAAGGGCCTGGGATGCAGCCTGGGCCAGCATCAGCAATGCAGCAGCTTCACAGAGAGGGCTGAGCCTGGAGAAGAGGGGCCAGAGGTGGGGGGCTCAGAGTGTGTGCTGTGCAGAGGGCTGGGACATCAGCCGGCAGGGAGGAGCAGCGGCCACTGGGTCAGCAGAGTGGGCTGAACAGTGCCCTCCAAAAGCTGTCTGCATCCTAATCCCCAGACCCTGTAAATATGACCTTATATGGAAAAAGATGTGATTATGAAAAATCTTGAGAGGAAGAGTTTATCCTGGGTTATTTGGGTGGGCCCTACATGCAGTCACGTGTCCTTATAAGAGAGAGGACAAGAGAGTTTTGAAAAATACACACATAACAGGAAGCAGCAGCGTCACTACGAAGACAGAGATTGGAGTGACCTGGCCACAAGCCAGGAAATGCCTGGAACCACCAGAAGCTGGAAGACACATGGAATTCCCCCTAGAGCCTTCAGACGGGATGCAGCCTTATCAACATCTTGAGTTTAGACTTCTGGTCCAGAATTGCAAGGGAATACATTCTGTTATTTGAAGCCACCTAGTGTGTGATAACTTGCTACAGCAGCCACAGGACGCTCACACAGTCAGGCCCTGTTAGAGGTCAAGGGTAGGAGAGAGAAACACGTCCCTTGGGCTAAGAACACAGGCACTGGGGACCTTGGGGGGGTGGCTCTCAACCCTGGCTGCTCAAGAGCATGGGGGAAGCTTTG